TTTTAAGCTATATTTTTTTAAATTTATTTTTTACACTAAGATTGTCGATATTGTTTAAATATTTATTTTCAAAATATATTTCACATGCACCCTGCTTAGGATATATGTACTATATGTACAGTGAAATCTCTCTTGGCCGGCCCAGGGGAGTGCCGGCTTAAGAGCCCACATAGACATTTATTTATTTTTATTTTTTTTTTTTTTAATTTATTTTATTCAGTGCTTGACCAAAAAAAAAAAACAACTGATATTCATTAAGTATTGCAAATTTTTCTAAAATAATACTATTTTCCTTTTGCAAAAATACCTAAGCTACATAACAAAACATTTTATTTATTTTGCATTTTTTGTCCATCATTTTGATCTTGCGAAACGGAGCCTGCTTGTGAAATAATTTAAAAACGATGTCCTGTAAAATGTTATGAAAATCTTAAAGTTAGATCACATGTGTGGCAAGAAACAACCAGAAATAAAAGGAATGATACGGATGACCACACTTAATGAAGATTATCACTTTTTATTTATAATTATAATTATTTTTCATGCATTTGAAAAGTGTTGGCGCCCTGCCAAGAAAGGTTTTAATGAGAATTGGATGACAGCGTCCGTTCCAAGCTGGTTCGCGTCTAGTCAAGAGCCTCTCTTTAGTTAGAATTTTTCAAAAAATAGTGTCCGTGTCCGGTAAAGAGAGAGCAACTTGCTCGAAATAGTATTTCAAAGCGAATGCTCTAGAAAGAGTGGCCGCTTAAGAGGGGTGTCCATTAAAAGAGTTCTCACTGTATATATGTATATGAATATATATAGAGGACAGAAACAGTTCACGGCCGTTAAGGCAGCAAAACTTTTTGGCCAGACAAGGGCCAATCATTTTGGCCAACAAACCAACCAACTGACTGCCATTTGCATTGCCGCTTGCCGTTATTATTGTTGTGACTGATGTAGTCTTTGTTGTTGTTGTTATTATTGTTGTTGTTGTTGTTGCTGCTGCTATTATTGTTATTGTAGCGGGGCTCAGCCGCGCGTGTCCGCCATTGTGTGTGTTAAATTGAATTGAAAATTGAGTGTAGCAGTTTATGATGCTACATTATAAATCAACAGAGAACAGAAAACGGCAAACAGCCAGCGGGCAACAACAATAAGCAACAACAACAACAAGGAGCCTGGATTTAATTTGTACATAAAGTGGCTAAGAAGAGAGATAACACAAATAATCGCAAATAACATGCAGTCGCAAAGTATGCTACGAAAAACTGCAATGCTTCAAAGCACAAATGCTAATTGCAAACAAAGCGCGGGCGAGAACAAAGAGAGCGACAGGGAGAGAGGAAGGGAGAGGAAGGGAGAGCAAGGGAGAGCAGAAAAGTCAATGCCAAAGATGTAATGTAAATATTTGTTAAAAATAACTCACAAGTAAATATGAAAATTGGACGACAGACAGATACACACACACACACACGCACACACAAAGGGGCACATATGTGTTTGCACATTGGATATTTTCGAGAGCCATGGCATAACAACAATAACAACACCAACACCAACAACAAGAGCAAGAACAGCAACATGTTACACACGCGCGCCAATTGACAAAAGTGGCCATTGTGTTTGTTGCTGTTGTTGCTGTTGTTGCTGTTCTTGCTTACTGCCCAACTGAACGAATGACTGACTGGCTGAGTGACTGACTGAGTGACTAAATGATGGGACTGGCTAGTTGGCCGCAGCAGCCGACCGACACTTGTGTAGCCTGAATACACGGCCGGGGCTAGATAGCCAAACAAAGCGGATGCGGCAAATGTATTTACACACCTACTTACAAATGTACTCAAACATACACTCCCACACACACACACACACACAAGCACATACATATGTGAGCTGTTAGCATAGAAACTGTAACGGAAATCTGCGATATGTTTAACTGACAACCAAAAAGGCAGATAAGGAACGACACCAAGCAGCGGGAGAGAGAGAGAGAGAGAGAGGGAGAGAGAAGTAGACCACTCTTTCATTTGCTGAGCTATTTAATTTTTACTACAAGCAGAAATAAATACTCCCCTTCTTGAATCCATCAAAAATATGTTCCAATCTTCAACTTAGACTCAGACAGTCTCTGTCTAAATAAACAAACCAAACAACTAAATATAAGGAAGGACACCAAGCAGCGGGAGAGAGAGAGAGAGAGGGAGAGAGAAGTAGACCACTCTTTCATTTGCTGAGCTATTTAATTTTTACTACAAGCAGAAATAAATACTCCCCTTCTTGAATCCATCAAAAATATGTTCCAATCTTCAACTTAGACTCAGACAGTCTCTGTCTAAATAAACAAACCAAACAACTAAATATAAGGAAGGACACCAAGCAGCGGGAGAGAGAGAAAGAGAGAGAAGTAGACCACGCATTGATTTGTTGACATATTTAATTTTTAATACAAGCAGAAATTAATGCTACACTTCTTGAATCCATCAAAAATATGTTCCAATCTTCAACTTAGGCTCAGACAGTCTCTGTCTAAATAAACAAACCAAACAACTAAATATAAGGAAGGACACCAAGCAGCGGGAGAGAGAGAAAGAGAGGGAGAGAGAAGTAGACCACTCTTTCATTTGCTGAGCTATTTAATTTTTACTACAAGCAGAAATAAATACTCCCCTTCTTGAATCCATCAAAAATATGTTCCAATCTTCAACTTAGACTCAGACAGTCTCTGTCTAAATAAACAAACCAAACAACTAAATATAAGGAAGGACACCAAGCAGCGGGAGAGAGAGAGAGAGAGAGAGAGGGAGAGAGAAGTAGACCACTCTTTCATTTGCTGAGCTATTTAATTTTTACTACAAGCAGAAATAAATACTCCCCTTCTTGAATCCATCAAAAATATGTTCCAATCTTCAACTTAGACTCAGACAGTCTCTGTCTAAATAAACAAACCAAACAACTAAATATAAGGAAGGACACCAAGCAGCGGGAGAGAGAGAAAGAGAGAGAAGTAGACCACGCATTGATTTGTTGACATATTTAATTTTTAATACAAGCAGAAATTAATGCTACACTTCTTGAATCCATCAAAAATATGTTCCAATCTTCAACTTAGGCTCAGACAGTCTCTGTCTAAATAAACAAACCAAACAACTAAATATAAGGAAGGACACCAAGCAGCGGGAGAGAGAGAAAGTAAGGGAAAGGGCTTTAATTTGCAGAGACATATAATTTTTAATACAAGCAAAAATGAATACTAGTGCTGAGTAGCAGTACAAATACCCATGGATTTCACTTCTTCAATTTTAAAGGAGAGATTATGTGAGTTACGACTTCTTGGATTTTTCAAAAATAACTTTCAATCAACTTAGACTCAGACGCAGACTTTCTCTAAAAAATAAAACACCAAAAAAATACCCATATACTATGTGTCTCATATTCGCATTCCAATATACGCACCAACTTTTCTCTCTCGACGTCATAAAAACTATGCGAGTTGTGGCGAGAGCGGGGATGGGGGAGTTATTTGTTTTGTGGCAAAGCGGTTTTTGCAAATGAAGAGGCTGCCATCCATTTTTGGAGATATTGATATTGTCGCTCCCGGCATTAGCTCTCGCTAATGATGATGATGGGGAGGAGGGCGTCAAGCTGTTGCTCAAATGTGACCCTATAGTTTGTGTTTGCCGCGTGGTCAGTGACTTTTCATGGTTGCTGACTGTCTGGTTGGGTTGTTAGCTGGTTGGGCCGATCTGTGGGAGGACGTCTAATAATACGCCCGCATGGGACAATGTTCGGCTTTTATCGGTAAATAATTTTTTGTTTTTTTCATTTGTCAAGCGTTATTCGATTTTGCAGCCAAGAGGCAGACAACAAAGTGGAAATGTATTTGCGAATTGAGAAAGTCAAGTTAAAAGTTATATTGCTGATTCGGGTTAGGAAGATATATGCACAAAGTTAATTTATGCATCCTTCATAATTCCCTCTGTATTTAACGTGGAAAGCCAAAGCACCATTGTACCTTTGCCAACCAATAATGCTTCCAAGCCGATTCCTATAATATCATATCATTGTATTAAAAAGTTGAGCAAATAATATTCTACTGACAGTTACAATATTCATTATAAGATATCAAACGACTCGTGAATACCTTTATACCTTTATCCCACTTGGAATAATGATAAGGTACTCAGAGATACAATGTCGAAATAAACAGAAATGTTTTTAGTTCTAAGTCCGATCGTTCTTATGGAAGCTATGTATATGATATAGTGAGCCCATTTCGATGGAACTTTATATTCTAGTGGGGGACTAGAAAAGAAAACAACTTATAAGTACCAATCTAGGTTAGGCTTAACCGAACAGGTTTTGGTACTGGCAGTTATTTTCAGAGCGATCAGTCCTATGAGAGCTATATATAATAATGCCGCTTTATGTGGTTTGAAGAAGTCTTGCACTGCGCATGGATAAGACAAGTCTATCTACCTAGTTTGGTGTTTCTTGCTGGTATAGTTCAAAAGTTCTTGCAGTTCATACTGTCGAACAGGTGGACAAGCGATCGAATGTCCACTCCTTTTCATTTATTTGGAGTTTTGCATGGGATGGATAGTTCAAACTAATCCCAAAGTTAAACAATTTGTACATAATTTAAACAAAACATATTAAATATATCAACAATATCGCCCTCTCTGTCTATCCAGAAATGGTTGTTATGGGAGAGGAGTGTTTTAAATTAGAGGGGCGGCCCACTAAGTGGGCGGCAGCAAATGGAGTGCGTGCGGCAAATGGAAGTAAGTTATTAAATAAAATAAATTAATGTGCGAGCGCACAAAGGGCAGAAAACAATTAGCCCGGACCGAGCGACGAATTATGATGATCAAACAGACAGACAGACACTCAAAAGATAAAAAACAATAGCAATAGCAAAGCAATGCTAGCGCGAAACAATGATAAAGCGCTTAAAAACGCATTAGGCCCGATGTGGTTGGTTGGTACGAAATATCGTTTGTTGCCAAACGTGGCACATTATGGACATTTGTGACCCCACCATGGGCCTCTTTAGTCGACACATGTTGCGGCTCTGTTTGGTCTCGGCGATGCTGCACCTGGCCGTGCAGGTAAGCAATGGGATCGGTGTTGTATCCAGAGATATATAGTTTAAAGATATATGTGTACGTAGTATTGCTATGTGATGAAGATCTTGGGCCAGCGGGTCTGGGACACACCAAAATATGAGCTTCACATGATCCTGCACGAGAAGAACAACTCGCTGTCGTCGGTAACCATTGTGCACGAGGATGTGCAGATACCATTGTGGCATCTGACGATAATGCAGCATCCACGTGGTCGGAGTGGACGCGTCGAGACCGCACGCACTCTCTACAACTCGACAACGAAAACGTGCGAGTTCTTTAAATATATTAAACGCGTACGTGTCTTCAACAATGTCGCCCAATTGATGCTGTCGAGCGGATCCAGCAATCTCAGTCTCGACTGTCCGCTGAAGGCCGGCGTCTATGCCCTGAATGTGATTCAAGTGCCACCAGATACTGGATTGCTCAAGTTTATGTATCATCCAAACACCATCTACACACTACACGGCACTGTCTACTCCCTCAGTCCGAAGGATGGCGTCACCAAGACGCGCCTTTGCCGCTACGAGGTCAATGGCACCATTTTCAAGACATGTTGAGGGGACGATGCCACCATTCCCTATATACACTACAATTTTTTTGTGCTCAGTTTTTATTATTAATTGTTTTTAATTTTTTTTTTTCGAAGCAGCTACAAATAAACTGCAAGAAGGCAGCAAGCAATTAAATACTATGTATTCGTATTGTGGCTCTAAAAATTTTTTAATACAATTCGAGGACTTTCAAAGCTAAAACCCCCTAAATGGAATTTGTACCACAAAGTATTGCAAGTTTATTTATTTCATTATTTTTTTGCTTAGTTATTTTTAAATTCTTCCTTATTTTAAAATAATTTTCTTAACTCACTTTTCCTGTTTAATTGCACGTGAATTCGAAATGCTTTTCATATTTTTATAAAACCAATACGTGGAATGATGTTTGAATATGTCGTCTTTTTTTTTTTATTGAGAACGAACTTAAAAGAACCTACCAAAGAGTATAATTATTCTTATTTGCTTAATTATTTGTGAATTCGAAATGTTTGCCAAATTTCTATAAAATTATTCTTGGGGAGGGGTTTTATTCCTTTTATCTTCATTAAGCACTGAAAATACTTCCGAAGAAGGATTGAAGCTGAAGTTAACAATTATTTTCAGATTACAATCGGTTTCTCATCGTACTTTAAATTGTGTGCCAACTCAAATATTTGTCAAATTGTAAAAGTCATAATCATACGAGAACGATAATCAATTGGGAAGTTTCAGGACAATGTGAGCGCTGAACTACAATTTGAAAGTTCTTAGAATGATTTTCCGCAGGCTACAAAGTAATATAATAATACCAGAAAAAGAATAGTATGAACCTGGTAAAAAACGTTTCTAAAATCCAGGGAAACCTTGTTATAATCGTGTCAAGAATCAATCAACAAAATGTTGAAGAGTTTTTTTTTTTGGTTTTAATTCAAATTCTAAACATTGTTTATTATGTTTAACAATATTTCCAGTGTAATAAGTAGGTGTTGCGTTAGATTTAATGTGAAAGATGAAATCATGATTGAAAAATCACGTAATTATTTGTTCATTAGTCATTATTATTTTTCGATTAGCCGATGTTTTTCATTTTTCTGCCCAAACCAAACAATGCCATCTTGTTCAGCACTGTGTGCAACAGGGTGGCAACTCCAGTGGCCTGCACTTGCCTCGCGTGCGTGCCACACGTCAGCGCGAGCTCTTAATTAAGTGCAAAATATTGTGAGCGAGATGCGAAGCAAGAGCCGCACAAACGCCGCCACATTTGACATCAAATCGCAGCAACTGCGAGCAAAACTTTTCCTCTAGTATTTCATTACTTGTCTGCACAATGGGCTGATTAGAGGTTGTAGTGAATACAATTTCAAGAGAGGGAGCTTAAAGACAATGCAGTGGCTTTACAAATCATAGTCAGCATTGAGTGGGAAGAAGAAATGCTCGTTTGTTGAAATACCCGTCTGCGTCGTCGTCGATGAAATCGGGGCTTTCTAGATTAAAATTGACCACAAAACAGGTTTACGAAAAGCTCATCTAAAAACGAACACGAATGATCCCAACAGAACACATAATGGATTGAATTTGCATTCCAATTCTTGTGATGAAAAGTGCAGCACATGCTGCAGAGCTCGGCGAAGCAGCCAGGAATGGGCAGGATGTGCCTACCATCATCTACCAGAAGCTACTTCCACATGACCAGACATTGAATTCAAAACTCTTTTGTCAACAATCAAGCGCCGGGAAGCTAGAGCTTGCCAAGAAGCGATCAGAATTGGCCAACAGAAAAGGGAGCTTGTTAGGGAGGTGCATCCAAAAATCGGTTGGTCAACGATCAGAGCTTTTATGAGAAACAAATTGTGAAGCTAACCAAACAGCAATGGAAGAAACTATGCTCGTCCAGCATATAGAGCATAGAGTTAAGAAGAAGAAAAGAAAGACAAGAGAGCACGCCAACAATCCCGAAACTCTTTAAGTAGATTCAAGTTCGTTGAAAGGAAGTGACACGTTCTCTTCTTAAAGTTGTATTTAATTCTTAAAACACTTAGAGTTAAAACCATGATTTGCAACAATTTTGTGCTAACCAGTACATGGCATGCCATATTGTTCCTTTTGAGACTTTCACTCTGCATTTCCCTCCCACCTTTCACTTTTCCCTCCAGAAGTACGAATTGGGAGCAACTGTCGGATGTTGGCGATGTCGTTAACAATAAAGAAAATATTGTTTTGCGTGCATTTTTTCATGCCGCTCGCACGCCACTCGCACACTACACACAAATGCTCGTGTTTGACATTTTTATTGTGCAGCGCAAAGCTGCTTAGATTTTTCCATTTTCCAGCCACAGCTTGGAAATACTCGTATTGTATAATAATTAGCATCAGCAACAACAGCTCGCAGTAGACGAGTAGAGGAAAGCAGCTGCCGGAGTAGAATGAAAGATAATGCCACGCCTAATCGTCAGCACACACTCACCGAGATTAGGGAACTGCAGCATCAAATATTTATAATGAACTTATGAGGAGGGCCCAAAATGTTACCTGTTTATGTGCGAGTGGAGTATATAAATTTTGGCAAGCACTGTGGCTGGCAGCCTGTCTGTCCGCTTGTCGGACCGTCTGATTTATAAGCACCGACAGCCGGCAATGGCGAATAGGGGAGAATAGGGGAGAACAGGGGAGAGGCACGCCTCGCAAACAATTGGGTTAAAAATAAGCAGCTTATGCCGATGTCTGCTCACAGACATAAAGAGCATAGAAATTGGCAAGAGCATGGCTAAGTGGATGAGTGGGTGAGCGAAAAAAAAGAGGAAGAAAACCAGCCAACGGAATAGAAACGAAGTTGTACAGCCGACCAAAAGTTCGCTTCTACTTGTATGACGATTTGCTATTTTTTATATATTTTTTGTATTGTTTTTATTTCTTAAATATATATTTTTTATATTTAAAAAAATTAATTATTTGTATTTTTTGTTTTATTATTAATTTGTTGCGACAGTTCGACCTCTTGTAGATAATACTAAAAGTAATTTTTAAAGCCATGCTTTATGCGCTGTGATTCGAAAGACGGTTAAGTAGTGTTTAATTAGAATAACTCTTCCTAGTTGTGGGGCATATTTTGATTTGCGCTTTTTGATAAACTATTGTTACCCAAAAATAATAATTATCCCAATTTGTATGGAAAAGCATAGAAAATAAAACAAAGCGACTTTTTCTTCCCTAGACTGTAGGAACTAACATATCTACATACAAGTATATCCTGTAGACAGAATTCTTAATTGAAGAAAAGCCAACTTTGAGAAGGAAGGAATTACAAACTTGTATTCCTTTAATCGATTTGAGTTAATTGAGGTTTCAAATTCTTATATGCCTTTAATATTCCGTATTGGAATTAACCAGCTATGCGAGTGGGAAAGCAACATAATGGCGATTGCAGTTTGAAAGTGTTGCCTGCAGGACGAACGTTTGGTTTTAGGTGGGCTGCAAAGCTAAACACACCCACCACACACACACACACACACACATACAGTACTCGAATGGTTCGGCTCAGGTGTATGGGTCGCGCCTTCCCTTTCTCGCTCCCCCTCTCCCTTCCCCCCACACTCCTGACGTTATGCTCTGCATGTGCGCCATCTTCGACGTCGCAATTGGGATAAAATATGCGCCGCTTGCATGCCTGAGACTTATTATTAAAACATAAAATTTGCATGCAAGCCACAGAGCCACTGAGCCACTAGAGCCACGAAGCCACGGAGCCACTGAGCTGCGGCACCGAACAATACAAGGCACATGGGCTGTGGCTGGAGACATAAATATGGGGCTATATATACGAATATTTGTGTATGCGGCAGTTGAGGGCAATTTGAACTTCTGAATAATGCACAACGCAACAAAAACAACAACAACAACAGCAACAGGAGCAACAACAACAACAACAATAATGGCCGCCAGCGTTACTTTCTCAGCAGCAGCAAAAGCGTAAAATAAAGGCATTAAACAAATAATTCGACTAGTTATTTATGGCTGTCGTTAAACAAAGATGCCACAACAACAACAACAGCAACAACAACAACAACAATATCACAGTCTCGAGTCGCTTCGCAGTCGCTTGCCAGTAAAAGTGCATTTCAAAATGCTTCACACAACTTGTTTGCCAGCGCATGAAATTCCATAAATGTCACCACAACATTTCGATTGTAAGCATTTGCAACACCAATACTCTACAACAACAACAATAACAATAACAATAGCAGCAACAACAACACCTCTTTAATTAAATTTGCTTAACAGAATAATTTGAGGAATTTTTGGTAAAGTCAAATGGACGCATTGAGGCTTCCACAAACATTTATTTAATAATAAAATAATGTCATTTAAGAATCCGATACACAACTTATGGCAATCTATTACAACTTAAACGCCTCGAGGTATGCAAGGCCTTTTGTTTATTATCCTTTTCACATCGCCATGGCATGCTTCCAAGCAAAGGCCATTGCAAGGAATTCACATTGCATTTGTTTCAACAATACTCGCATACGCGGAGCATGTATCTTAAAATAAAATTAAAGAAATTGGTTTGAGCAGCAAATCAATTATAATAAATGCTAATACTATTTCAACTAAAATCCCCCCACAAATGATGAAATTAAAGGCTTCTTGACTGACTTTTTAAAGTGATCTATAGAGACAAAAAGTTTTTTATATAGGATTGCTATATAATTTAACAAAAAATAATATTTAAAGACCTAAACATACTTAAAAAACAAAGAAGTTATTCAAAAATCGTACAAGTTTTGTTTTCTAAAATAAACTCAGATTACTCTTTATCTGGAAAACTATTCCCAAATCATTAAATGTATATAAACTTAAGGGCTTAGGTGCTCTAACTAAAAATAATGCTTTCTAAATAAGAAAGCAATACAAGATGTTTAAGGACTTAGGGATACTTAGAAAACGAAAAAGGAAAACTATTCCTAAATCATAAAGTGTACAAAATGTATACCTAAAAACAATGCTTTCTAAATGAGAGTAAGTTTGTT